TGGATTGAACTGACCAAGAATCTAATCAGGATTCCACATTTAAGTTGTGGAAGTCAAAAGGAAGACACGGGGACAGCGGGCATCCCTGTCTTGTGCCTTTCTTAATATTGATCTTCTCAGTCATCTCCCAGACATTTATTATCCCCTTTGCATTTTCTTTATATCGCCTTAATTATGTTAATAAATCTCTCCCCAAAGTCCTTTAACTGTGTTAACATGAATTGCCAGTCCACATTATCAAATGCTTTCTGTGCATCTAGGAAGACCAATGGGAACCCAGATGTGGCAGATCTGCACAGCCCCAATCAAGGATCAGCCATGGTTTCCAGCTACATTTCTGCTGTCCTCAAAGCCCCCCCCCCGCCCCCCAATTTCACCCCTTCAATTTTTCCCAGGCAAAACAGAACATTAATTTGCATCCTGTCTTCCAGGGGTGACCCCAGCCCAAGCGGGTCAAGTGGGTAGACCCCACTACCTACCCAAGCCACTACTGGAGGCTCCTGGAGGCTCATTAAAAAGATGATAATCAAAACTAAGTCAGCTGGAGAGTCAGAACTTTGGCCATCTCTGTGCTGTGAAGTTTATGTTATCCCCAGTCCCCAAAATAAATCCATAAAGCAGGCAGGGGGTAGATCTTTCCAATTCACTCTTGGTTGGTGGCTTTGAGCCCTACCTAGTCTGAGCTAAAAGCAAGCCCGCCCACCCACCCCTTTTACACATTGCATATATTTATTTCAAGATATGGCTGATTTGACTTTTATTAGAAGAGGTGATTCAAGCCATTTGCTGCTCATTTCTGGTGATCCAGAAGAAGCTTCTCCAGATACGTCCAATTCCCATTATTGGGATTCCCAGAAGACAAGTCTAGACCTTCAGAAGTCCAGAAAGAAGTAGAAGGCCAGCATAGACCTTCTGAGAAAGTGCAAGGCAAATGACACACTGCATTGGGGAGCCTGGAGAGGAGAAGATATTGTGGGTGCATAGATTTCCAGTATGATTTATGGCACGCGTTTAAAGAATAATTACTGTCTTAATAGAGAGAGAGGAGAAAGAGGGAGAGGGAGGAGAGAGAGGAGAGAGAGAAAGAGAGAGGAGGGAGAGAGGAGAGAGAAAGAGAGAAAGAAAGAGAGGAGAGAGAGAGAGAGAG